AATGACGGAGTTGCTCACGAGAGTAAGATCAACAATGGAGTCCCGTGGGACACCATGTGTCACAGTGTGAAAGGTGGGAGTGTCACCGACGTTGCAGACTGTGAGGTCTCGGGCGACCACCAAATTGGCAATGTCCTGGCCTCTGCTGTTGTCAGATCGGGAGCCCCAGAACGCATGCCAGCCGTTGAAATCCCCGCAACTAACGTGCTTGGAGTCGGGAGTTAGCATTAGAAATTGCTCAAGTTTGTCGATGGTGTTATGTTCATCATTGCGGGGCTCAACGTAAACGGATGTGAGATAGACGTGTTGCCAGTGCGTTCTCTTATTGCGGACTATGCAGATGTTAGAATTCGAATGTGCAGAGACCCCAAGTGTTGATGCGAAATTTTCGCGAACAAGGATAGCGGCCTTGACAGCGTGACCAGTGTGAAACTGATACGTCGTGAAGCCGGGTATGGGTTTTAGACGTTCGGTGTTAGAAGTATAGGGTTCCATAACGAATGCCACGTGGCACTCGGAGTTGTTGAGATGAACGGAAAGTTCGTGAGTTGCGTTGCGGCTGCGTGCAAGATTGATCTGTGTGCATATAAGTTTGAAAGAGGATGGATGAGAGTGAGAATTATTAGACCTAATAACCATAGTTAGTACGGGAACGAATTGTTTGAAGGCTGAAGGAGATTCGAGGACATTCTTGGGAAGTGGCACTGTGATCAGTCTTGCATTTGGTGTTATTATTTTTGGAGTGTTCGACGCAATTGTGACATTGTGTCTTGTCAGTATTGTCCTTTTCCGGACAACTGCGGAACTCATGTCCAGGGAGAGAGCAGTGAGAGCATACTGTCACTTGACGGTCACACCTAGCTTTGGTGTGTCCGAATTGGAGGCACTTGTAGCATTGGAGTAAAGGCACATAGTCCTCCGCGTGTACTCGATGGTGGTCAAGGTTTAGTTTGACCCGCGAAGTGATAGCCTTCCAGACGGGGGTGAGGTCATAAAGACCGCATTGTATAATCGCTTGTTGCGGTTTGCCCTCTTAAAGCGGAAAATAAGGTCACCGTCCGACACAATGGCACTCTTGATTTCCGGGTTTTGGTTCCTAAGGATACCAACGAGTTCGTCAGCTAGAATGTCTTGGGGTACCCCTTTGAGCACTACCATAGGACTGAGCATCTGGATGCCTCAGCCGCTACAGAGCACTCTGGGCGTTTAAGTTTCTCTAGGTCTCGTCTCGGTGCCCCTCACTATCAAATTCTACTCGGATTTTGTTTTTTGAAATGTATTTGACGTTAGCCGGAGCAAAAGTCGTGTCTCGGAAGGAGACCGAGGCCTTAAAATTTTTGTAGGTCTCTGCTGAGCTAAGAACGCTTTTCTTAGAGGAGACAATAAGGGCTGGTTTGGTTTTAAGTTTCACTTGAGGAGTGGGATGCATCTCCCTTGGCAGTGCCGCCGCTGCAGCCGCCTGCGCATAGGTAAGTGGAGGGGCCCGTCTTTTCCTTAACTTCTTCTATGGTGGAACTGACTTGGTGGAATCACTTGAACTTTAAACGTCTTCGATATGGGATATTATGGACCGCATTGGAAGCGGAATTATTGTTAATATTGAGTTGGGCTTTCCTAATTTCCTCTAGTATAGCTGTAATTTTTCCTGAATGTGAGTTTATAAATTTGCCTCCTGTACTTCTTTAATCATCTGCCAAGGGCAAAGACACCGTTGGCGAGCTAGGAAAACCGAAGTCCTAGACTTACGGATGCAGGCCACGGAAGCAGTGGAAGCTTTTTTGTTGAAGGGCGACTGGTTCTATATTCCTTCCTCTCTCCAATTCAGCCTCCGCCTCCTTAGTGAGACGGTAAAGATTGTCTATGGCCTTGGTTACAACCAATCTTAATATCACGGTGCGAATGTTGCGAGAGTTGGCCATGTGCGTACTTGGCGCTACGTATTTCCACATCTTCGGCCTGCTGTGACCTGGGCTTTTTCTGTTATGTCGGCCGGGATAGGTGTAACTTCTAAAGTTTCAATCGGTGCTTTAGCTTTTTACTTTTTTAATTGCAGGTGCAGGTGCAGGTGCAGGTGGAGCCTGTGTCGGCGGCCTGTGGGGGTGGGAGAGCTCAATCATCGCTTCCCCCAAGCTTCGCCGGACCGGCGCATTCATACCTAGTACCTGAAGGCGTCCTTAAGGGGCGCGGGTTAACTCCCTCCGCCGATTTAGTAGGTGTTGTCTGATCATTTTATATTTACAATTTTATTTATAAACTAATGTATATAACTACTAGAATAACCGAACTTATTATTAAAATCTAGAAAAAATTTAAGAAAAACTAACATTTTAGAAAAAAAAAAAAAAAAAAAAAAAAAAATTATGCCCAAGGTCACCAAAACCTATATGGTAAAGGAGAAAAGGGAGGGTGGGGGGGCTTTTTTTTTTTTTTTTTTTCGATTTCCCGTTAGAAAATCGGGGAAATGGGGGCCTATGGATCGTGTTGGTAATGTATAAACAAGTTAATTTAAGGCCAAATTTGGGGGCAAAAGAAATTTGAAATTAAAAATATTTTTATACAACGAAATAAAAATCTTACAAATGCCCAAAATCTTAACTTATCTAAGAAAATTATATTTAAACTATGCAAATATGATATAATACACCTAAAAATAACTATGCTAGTGGAAAACAAGTGAAAAGGACCGAGTATGCAGACATATTGGGAAAATTTTAAATTGCAATAAATGTATGAAGAAAAGATTGATCCGCCTTAGGTGACCCTCGGTTTTAGGTATGATAGTGATTTTTTTTTTTTTTTTCGATTTCCCGTTAGAAAAATCGGGGAAATGACTATGGATCGGTGTTGGTCATGTATAAACAAGTAATTTAAGGCCAAAATTTGGCAAAGAAATTTGAAATTAAAAATATTTTTACGAAATAAAAATCCTTAAAATGAAAATCTTAACTTATTAAGAAAATTATATTTTAAACTATGCAAATATGATATAATACACCTAAAAATAACTATGCTAGCTCTTTTTTTCTTTTGGAAAACAAGTGAAAGGACCGAGTATCAGACATATTGGGAAAATTTTAAAATTGTAAAAACAATATATGGGTTAGGTTAGGTTAGGTTAGGTTAGGTTAGGTTAGGTTTAGGTTAGGTTAGGTTAGGTTAGGTTAGGTTAGGTTAGGTTAGGTTAGGTTAGGTTAGGTTAGGTTAGGTTAGGTTTAGGTTAGGTTTAGGTTTAGGTTAGGTTAGGTTAGTGTTAGGTTAGGTTAGGTTAGGTTAGGTTAGGTGTAGGTTAGGTTAGGTTAGGTTAGGTTAGGTTGAGGTGTAGGTTAGGTTAGGTTAGGTTAGGTTAGGTTAGGTTAGGGTTAGGTCTAGGTTAGGTTAGGTTAGGTTAGGTTAGGTTAGGGGTTTTAGGTTAGGTTAGGTTAGGTTAGGTTACGTTTAGGTTTAGGTTAGGTTTAGGTTAAGGTTTAGGTTTAGGTTAGGTTAGGTTAGGTTAGGTTAGGTTTAGGTTAGGTTAGGTTAGTTAGGTTAGGTTTAGGTTAGGTTAGGTTAGGTTAGGTTAGCGTTCAGGGTTAGGTTAGGTTAGGTTAGGTTCGTTAGGTTATGGTTAGGTTAGGTTAGGTTAGGTTAGGTTAGGTTAGGTTAGGTTAGGTTAGGTTAGGTTAGGTTAGGTTAGTTAGGTGGTAGGTTAGGTTAGGTTAGGTTAGGTTAGGTTAAGGGTTACGGTTAGGTTTAGGTTAGGTTTAAGGTTAGGTTAGGTTAGGTTAGGTTAGGTTTAGGGTTAGGTTAGGTTAGGTTAGGGTTAGGTTAGGTTAGGTTAGGTTAGGTTAGGGTTAGTTAGGTTAGGTTTAGGTTAGGTTAGGTAGGTTAGGTTAGGTTAGGTTAGGTTAGCGTTAGGTTTAGGTTTAGGTTAGGTTAGGTTAGGTTAGGTTAGGTGACCTTTCTGCGATTGTTTTGGAGTATTCTCGATTGTTTTACGTTTGTTTATGCTTACCGGATTTGATTGATGCAACAACCTGATTTGTATTTTTTGGCTTGGATTTATGGTTTTTTGATTTTGCTTGTGAATTTGGCATTCTGTTGATATTGTGGTGTGTTTTTTGTTTGTGTTTGGGGGTTTTGGGGTGTCTGTAGTGATGGACTTCGGGACACGTCCGAAGGGTGCGGGAGACCGACTCGTCCGTGGGGCGAAAGCGGACCCACCCATTACCGCCTCTGGTTAGTTCCTCCGGGTCTGACACAGAGACGGAAATGACGGTTGGCGCCAGAATAGTTAAGGCGCGTAAGGAGGTGTCCCAGAAGGGCGCTGGAAGTGCTGGGGGTTCGGGCGTTGCTCGCGCCACTGCCGAAGACCTGAAAAAAATTGGAGGAGGAGGACCGCGAAATAGAATTTGAGAGGAGTCTCAAGCAGCGGACCTACGCAAGACTGGCACTCCGGTGCCAAAGTGGATTCCAGAGGCGTCGGCGGCTGAGGCCCCAGCCCGGAAAGACCCGGCCGAGCAGACGGCCGATGAAAACTTAGAGAGCTGGCTAGTAAGAGATGTGGCGGCAGTGCTGGAAGTGGCCCAGACAGTCGGGCAACTTAAAAGGCACGATGCAAAAAAATGTTGAAGGAGTCTGCCGCCACACTACAAAAGGTGGTGGAAACACTAGCAGAGGGCGTACGGTGGCGGAGGAGGTTGCCACCCTCTAAGAAGGATAAATGCCCGCCTCCGCCGCGAGACGCAGGGACTTAAGGCGGAGTTGAAGGCCCACCGACAGGGCGAATTTTGCGAAGACTGGCGAAAGGGAGCTGTCGGCCGTCCAAAGCCGGTCCCTCGGATACCTTCGCGCGGGGATTGCTGAGAGGAGATAAGTGGCCTCCATAGTCGCGTCCGGTGGGGACTTTAATAGACGCGGGCGCCGTTTCGCCGGCCGGATTGAGGAGGCGTCCTTCTCCCGGCGAAGACAATGGCGTCCCCTCCCGCTTGCGGCGGACAGGCGTCGCGAGGCGGCTGCGCCCGATGGCTCCCCAACGAGACCTGCCCCTAAGAGAACTTCACCCCCAAGGCAAGTGCCAGCGCCGGCCTGCGGCTGTGGCCGTACGGGGGCTCTGCAGTTCAGGGCAAAGGTAAGGGGAAAGGAAAGGGAAAGGGCAAGGCCCAAAGGCGTCATGCGCGGCCACTTCCGCCTGTCACCTATAGTTTGCCGCTCCTGCCTCCTCCCTCAGCCCCCCCTCCCCCCCCGGTGGCCGGGCCGAGTCGCCCCGCTAACTCGGAAGGGGATACCTGGGCCACTGTCGTGAGGAAGAGGCAAGGGGAAGGCCTGAAGAAGGCGGCTCTACTCCTGCCTCTGCGCCTTGTGGTGGCGAAGGGGGGGTGGGACTTCAGAAGCCCCCCAGGCTAAGCCTAAAGGTCCCCAGCACAACCGCGCACTGCCGCGGTCATCATAACGGTCCCGCAGGAGGCCGCCGCGAAGGGGCGTCTCCTACGCGCGGGTCCTGGAGAGGGCCCAAGCCAGAGCGTGGACCTGCGGGAGTTGGGGATCACCGGGGGGGGCTTAACCGTGAGCGGTGGCGGCGACAGGGGCGAGGCTCCTTGAGCTCCCTTCCTCCGCTGCGCCAGAAGGTGGCGGACAGGCTGGCGGGAGAAGCTCCGCCAGTCCTGACGGGCTCGGGCCGACCTGTTCGCGCGCCCTCCCGCTAAGAGCCGGCCGATTCTCCCGGTGGACGGCGCTCGATGATTCGGCCACAAAGGGACAAGGTGGTCTGCGGCGGTCGCAAGGGCCCCCGGCCAACTGCTCCGTGCGCCAGCGTAAGGTGTCGGGGAGATCCCGCAACGGAAGGGGCGGCGTGGGTCTCAGTCGTGGTGTCGATTCCCAGCCACGTCGGCGAAGGTGGTGGTATACTCCGGCAGGCCTCCTCGTGGGGCTGGAGCTCGGCCAAGTGGAGGTCCTGGAGCAGCGCCCCATTGGCGCTGCTTCAAGGTGCATGGGCCATCGGCCACACCTGGCCTGTGTGCCCGTCCAGGGTGGAGAGGGGAGCCGCCTGTGCTACCGGCTGCGGCGGCGAGGGGCACCAGTCCGGCGGAGTGGCAAGCGCACAAGAACGTGCGCTGCGCCGTGTGCGCGGATGCGGGGGCGCCCTCGTGGCACATAATGGGCGGGGGCGACTGCCACCCGCCCGTTACGAAGGGGAAGGACGTGCCCCAACGGGACCAGAAAAAAAAAACCCAAAAACAAAAAAAACTTCAAAAAGGCCGCCCCCGGAGTGAGTAGCCGCCCAGGCTGGGGAAGGAAGCGACACATGCTCCTCATATATGGTCGGACACCAGCGCTTCCATCCAGGGGAATTTGAAACCACTCTGCCCGGAGCGCAAGGACCTTTTCCTGCAGTCCATGCCGAGTGGGAGATAGACCTGACCCACCCTTCCCCTCCCTCCCGTACACCCTCTGCGAGCAAAAACTTCTAATCTACCGCCCTCCTCTCCCCACCCTCACCCCTCTCGCCACCCGCCCCCCCCCGCCCTCCCACCCTAAACCCCCCCCCCCCTCCCACCCCCCATTTCACCCCCCACACACACTCACCTCCACCGTGGGTCCCCATCCAAATCAAGCCGCTCTCCACGCCGCTCCGATCGCCCTCCCCACCCCGCCCCCCCCCTCCGCCCCCCCCCCGCAACCCCACCGCCCACCCCAACACACAACACCCACGCCGCGCCCCGCCCCCCAACCCCGGACCCACCCGCACCTGAGGCCAACACCCCCTCCTCTTCCCTCCCCCAATACCCCCCCCCTCCAGACCCCCAAACCGCTTCGCCAACCACCCACCCTCCCACCCAATCTCCCCCCGGCCACACCAGAGGCACCACCACCCCACCTGCCCCCGATCCGGTCAGTACCGATCCCTACCCCGAGACCCCACCTCCCGCCTTAGACCCTGGGGGTTACCCTGCTCCCCAAGGATCACGACCACCCTTCCCCCCTCCCCCCGAGCCGATCCCCCCGCTTCCCTACCCACTGGCCCCCCACCCTCCCCTCATCGAACCAATCCGCCACCCCTACACCTCCGACTACTAGGCCCTTCTTGTCACTCCCGGATCCCCCAGGTCCCCCCCCCTCTCTGCCGTTTTCCCCGACCCTCCCGCCATCCCGCCCCCTCCCTGCCCGACTCCCCGCACCTGCCCCCTGGCAGGCGAGCCTGCGAGCCCTATTTTGTCCCTCACCAGCCGAACTGGGTGGGGGAACCTTAGAGGGCTCCGTGGCCAATAGTGTCTGGGAGGGGCAGACCCCACCGGCCCCCGTCTCTCGGCAATCGAGAGGGGCCAAAGGACTCGTCGTGGCAGGGTGGGGAGAGTACGACATCGTTGCGGTGTACTTCTCCCCCAAACGCAGCCTGGCGGAGTTCGAGGTTTTCCTTGACTCCGTCCGCGCTGCGGTCTGCAGGCCAGTCGGCCGAGGCCCCACTATCGTCCTCGGCGACTTGTCAATGCCAAGTCCTTGGCCTGGGGGACATCCCACGTCGGACGCTCGAGGGCGAGCGGTTCAGACGTGGGCCCTTACTCTCCGGTCTGTCCCTGACTCAATGTGGGACGAGCGTTCACCAGTGCGTGCGGCAGCAGGGGGGGTCCGTGGTGGACCTAACGGTTTCGCCACACACCTCCCGCCGTCGCACGCAAAACATGGGCGTGATCAACTGGAGGGTAGAGGAGGAGGTGGAGACCCTCGTCGGACCACAACTACGGTCCGATTTGAGGTTCTCCACCCGTCCGGTGGCCGGTGGACCGCCCAAGGGGGCCTCACCATCAGAGCGTTCCCGAGGTGGGCCCTAGGGCCAGTCTGGACCACAGAGCTGGCCAGGGAGGCGGCCCATCGTCGAAGCGTGGAGCTCCCAGGGGGAGTGTGGTGGGCGACCAGTTTCCGATGTTGGAGGAACTGGCTGGCCGCATTCGCGACCGCCCTTACGAGGGTGTTGCGATGCGGCCATGCCCGCGTGTTCCAGGGCGGGCAGACCGGCGTCGCCGGAGTGTCTATTGGTGGTCGCCCGGAGAAAGTCGCACACAACTTCGGGGCGGGACCTGCAATAGGGACACAGGAGGGCCTACGTGAGGTGTCGCAGGAGGAATGGCCTGGACCCTGTCTGTGGAGGGCGAGCTGCGGGTGCGCCTAAATCGGTCCGGCAAAGAAGGCCCTGCAGCTCGCCATCAGCCCAGGCCCCCAAGGCGGCGGCCCGCCAGGAATTGCCTGGAGCGGGCCTGGCTCGGGATCCGTGGGGGGCTCCCGTACATCAGCGCGCGGAACAAACTCCGCGCGCATGGCGCCCCCGGTCACGGAGGACCACGCCACCCGACGTCCTCCTGCGACTGGTGGGGAGGCCTGTTCCCGGAGTCCTCCGGGCCACGGTCCCCCCGCGGTGATGTGTCCCTCCCTCAACGTCCTTGAGGGAGTCGACGAATTCCCCCCAATCACCGAGGGGGAGATGGAAAACTGGCCCGCGACAAACTGCGGGCCAACACGGGACCCGGCTCCGGGAACGGATGGTATTCCGGGGGGCGAGTTCTGTGCATCGCTCCTGGAATACCTGGGAGTGGGGATCTTTCGGGACTCTTCGAATCGCATGTCTTCGCGTTGGGGCAAGTTCCCGAAGATTCTGGAAGGGAGGGGTTGTTGGTGCCTGTTGCCCAAGGAGGGTCGTCCTCTGGACTCCCCTTCGGCATAACAGTGCCAATCGATGATGCTGAGTGAGATGGGCAAGCTCTTCGAGGAGAAATTCTCGTTGCCCGTCTTACTCAGCATCTCGAGGAGGTGGGGCCGGGCCTTTCGGAGGCTCAGATTCGGGTTCAGGGCGGGTCGGGGGGGGGGGGGGGCGGTCGGACTGATGGACGCCCTGAACGCCCTGAAGGTTCGGCGTCCTTGGCCGCGGTGGAGGAGGGAGACGTGTCTTTTTAGCCGTCTCGTTGGATGTGGCCAACGCCTTCAAAACACCCTGCCGTTTGAGACGCTACGAGAGGCACTTTCGGTACCAATGAGGTGCCTCTCTATCTCCGGCGGTGTTGGGACGCGTACCTCCGCGGACAGGACAGGTCGTGTGGATGGGGGCGAGATGGGGTGGTTCGGTCGGCGACGGTCGACATGCGGGGGTTCCACAAGGGGCCGTTTTGGGCCCGGTACTGTGGGAACATCGGGTATGACTGGCTCCTGCGTTGTCCCGCTTCTCCCCGGGCTCCGGTGTCATCGCTTACTGCCGATGACAACCCTCGTCACAGCCGCGGGGGCGATCTTACGAGGAAGAGCGGCACGCTTTGGCCACAGTCGGCACCAACCTAGTCGTCGACCGTATAGGGTTGATGGGCCTGAGGGTCTCCGTCTCCAAAACGGAGGCCCCTCCTTTTTCATGGCCCATGATGACGCAGGGGTGCCCCCCCGCAACGCCTGTCCTGCGGGGTCCAGGGTAGGATGGTGGAGGTACGGGGCCCCAGATGAATATATCTGGGCCTGACACCTGGACGGAACGCTAGGACGTTTCGTGTCCATTTCGCCCAGCTCACCCCGAGACTGATAGGCGCCGCCTCGGCCCTCGGCAGACTTCTGCCGAATGTCGGGGGCCGCTGGATCTCCTCTTGCCGGCCGGCTCTACGCCTGGCATCGTGAGGTCCATTGGCACTGTACGGTGCCCCCGTGTGGAATGGACGCCCTCTCCGCACACGAAACAGGGGCCCAACTGCGCAAGGCGCAACGGGTCCTGGCGGTGAGGGCGGTGCGGGGATACCAGTACCGGTGGGGACACCTTGATCCTTTACGGCGGCGACACTTCTGGCGGGCGATCCGCCTGGGAAACCTCCAGGCGGAGCGTGCTCGCCGAAGTCTATCAGTATCGGGCGAGTGAGCGGGCTACGAGGGGTAACGTCCTCAGCGCGGGAGGGAGTCGCTCGGATTCAGGCGCCTAAGCTGACGAGGCACTGGGATCCGGCGCTGGTGGGGAAGATCTGGGGTTTTAAGCCAGTCGGCTGGCTCGGCGACGGTGGGGAGCGGTTCGTCCGTTCCTGTCTCGCTGGGTCAGGGCGGGTGCCGCACGGCGTCCCTGACGTTCAGGTTGACGCAGAATGCTTACCGGGCACCGGGTGCTTTTGGTAAGTATCTGTGTCAAGTTGCGCGTCGGGAACCGTTGCCCCGTATGCCTACGAGTGTGGTGCGTCCGAGGGACAACCTCGCCACCACACCCTCGCGGTATGCGCCGCTTGGGCTCCCCAGTCGCCATGCCTTGATGGCGGTAGTGGGTGGAGACCTGTCCGGTTGCGAAGCGTGGTGGGGCGGCCATGCTACGCGACGAGAGGTCCCTGGTCGGCGATGGTCTCCTTCAGACGATGTGTGCGTCATCTCACTGAAGGAGACGCGGGAGGAAGGGAACGCGAGGCTAACGCCTTAGCAGACCCTCTTCGTCGCCGTACGGCTGCGAGGATGAGGAGGCGTCCGGTAACGCCCATCTTCTCCCGCTCACCCTAGAGGAGCTACTGCGGGGGGGTCCTCTCGTTGACGTGTATTCCCCTGCCACGTCCATCGGGGCGGTTTTTTCGGAATGGCCCTGTGAATCGAGGGCATTCCGGTTTAGGCGAGGGCAGGCCCGCGGGGTACGGGCCGTCCGCAGGGGTGTTGTATGAATGCGTCAAGCGATCCTACACACCCCATTGCACTGCGGCGACGGGTTCCCGCTGTGGGTTTTAGTGAGTAGGAGTCCGCACAGTACCCTACCCCATATGACGGCCGGTAGGGTCCCCCATGATGGGTTTCCCCAGCGATAACAAAAAAAAAAAAAAAAAAAAAAAAAAAAAAAAAAAAAAAAAAAAAAAAAAAAAAAAAAA